ACCAAGGTACACGCCCTTGACCGGAATCAAAGTCGGGACGCTTTGGTCCGAAGGCTGATGCTCTATCCACTGAGCCAAACTGGCTAGAGCCCATTTTTCTAACAAATGTAAATCATTTAGGACAATATAGCACAGTGAAGTGAAGATGAGTGCTATGGTCTGAATGCTTGTGACTCCTCCCCACCATCCCCCAAATTCATAAATTGAAATCCTATTGGCCCAGCTAATGGGATTAGGAGCTGGAGCTTTGGGATTGGATTAGGTCCGGGGGCGGAGCCCTCATGATGAGATTTGTGTCCTTATAAAGGAGGCCTGAGCGAGCTTTCTGCCACATTCCCCAGCTGAGAATACAAGAGGTCAGAAGTCTGCAATTGGAAGAGGGCAGTTGGCTGGTGTCACAGAATTGCTGCGTGGCAGACAACACTGCAGGTTTGTTTCTCAGGTGCCTGAGGGCTTCGGCTAGGAGGCAGGAGGCGCTCTAGCCCGTGTGGACTCTCGGAGCGCGCGGAGGCGAACGGGGAGCCAGTATGATGGCGGAACAGGACGTGGAAAACGAGCTTCTGGATTATGAGGAAGATGAAGAGCCCCAGGCTCCTACAGAGAGCACCCCAGGACCCCGCCAGAAAGATGTCAAGGGGGCCCACGTTTCCATCCACAGCTCTGGCTTCCGGGACTTTCTGCTGAAGCCTGAGCTCCTGAGGGCCATAGGGGACTGTGGCTTTGAGCATCCATCTGAGGTTCAGCACCAGTGTCTTCCCCAAGCCGTCCTGGGCATGGATGTCCTGTGCCAGGCCCAGTCTGGAATGGGCAAGACTGCAGTCTTCGTGCTGGCCACCCTACAGCAGATCGAGCCCGTCAACGGACAGGTGGCCGTCCTGGTCATGTGCCACACTCGGGAGCTGGCCTTTCAGATCAGGAAGGAGTATGAGCGCTTCTCCAAGTACATGCCCAGTGTCAAGGTGTCCGTGTTCTTCGGGGGTCTCTCCATCAAGAAGGACGAAGAGGTGCTGAAGAAGAGCTGTCCCCACGTCGTGGTGGGCACTCCAGGCCGCATCTTGGCACTCGTGCGGAACAGCAGCCTCAGCCTGAGAAACGTGAAGCACTTCGTGCTGGACGAGTGTGACCAGATGCTGGAGCAGCTGGACATGCGGCGGGACGTACAGGAGATCTTTCGCCGGACGCCACGCGAGAAGCAGTGCATGATGTTCAGTGCCACGCTGAGCAAGGAGATCCGGCCCGTCTGCCGGAAGTTCCTGCAAGACCCCGTGGAGCTGACGGTGGACGACGACACCAAGCTCACGCTGCATGGGCTGCAGCAGTACTACGCCAAGCTCAAAGAGAGAGAAAAGAACCGTAAACTCGTCGACCTCCTGGACGTGCTAGACTTTAACCAGGTGGTGATCTTCGTGAGGTCGGTGCAGCGCTGCATGGCCCTGGCCCAGCTGCTCGTGCAACAGAACCTCCCAGCCGTCGCCATCCACAGGGCCATGGCGCAGGAGGAGCGCCTCGCACGCTACCAGCAGTTCAAGGACTTTCGGCGGCGGATCCTGGTGGCCACCGATCTGTTTGGCCGAGGCATGGACATTGAGCGAGTCAACGTCGTCTTCAATTATGACACGCCTGGGGACTCGGACACCTACCTCCACCGGGTGGCCCGAGCCGGCCGCTTTGGCACCAAAGGCCTGGCTATCACTTTTGTGTCTCATCACAATGATGCCAAGATCCTCAATGAGGTTCAGGGTCGGTTTGAAGTCAATGTGGCGGAGCTTCCTCAAGAAAAGGACATGTCCACATACATCCATGTCAGGTCACCACACACCTGACATCCCGGAGCCACCCTGCTTCCCACGTGCTGCTTCAAGTCTTCTTAACAATAAATTCTTACTATGGAAAAATAAATAAAAATATGGCCTTGTAGTTTGCTTCTTCCCCCCATTGTTCAAGTCACTCATCCATATATATATGTATGTATGTAAGTGTATATATATATATATATATATATATACACACACACACACACATATATATTCATATATATATATACACATACATATGTATAATAATGCTAGATTTATAGAAACATTCCAACTATAAGACAGAGAATTCTTTTCTACCCCTCACCAGTTTTCCCTAATGTTCCATTAGCATGGAACATTTTTTAAAACTAAGACGTCTGCATATTATTATTAACTAAGCTGCAAATTTTATTCAGATTTCACCAACTTTTTGTTATAATGCACTTTGATGTTCCTGGATCCAAGTTAGGATACCACACTGTAATTGTGACTTTTATGTCAGAAAATATAGTTAACAAAAATCCCAACCAAAATTTGATTCTGTTCGGATTTATTCTAAGAATTAGTGTGCTGCAGTTATAATCAGACTTATGTTAATATATGATACAATAAAATGTTAATCCTATTATTTTCTGTCACTTTTCACACTGGAGAACCAATCAGACCATTTTTTACACAATTCATGCTTCTAACTATGCTTAGATAACTACAATAGATGGTTAGCGAGGCTTCCTGAAAATACGCGAAAGAATATGTGATTAGGATCGGTGGATAAAGAGGTGAGTAAGTTTGATGTCTGTATCATCACTGGAACTGTGTGTAATATGCATATTGGTCCTTTGAGCTACGAGTAAAAAAAATGAATAAAGCAAGACTGGTTTTGATGCAGTGTGGAACCCACAGATGAAGCACTGCCAGATGCTAATTATTCTCTGCCTGCCCCTTGTTGCACAAATGTATACTTTCAAACAGATACGCAGCACTGTAGTGAAGAAGGATTCTCATTCATTTTAGGAGTACTCCGTTTCATCAATATCACTTTTATCATGTTAAAAAATGAGTCCCAGTGGATATGTAGCTTATATATTGGGGGTAAGGCACCTTTCCATTATTTATCGGTTCAATAAATAACTCTCTTAATATCTAGGAGAATTAACATTTTCCAAGAAGCCAAATTCACTCTTTTCTTCAAAAATTTTTACTGAACTGTGGCAGTTGGCTAGTGTCACAAAATTGCTGTGTGGTACACAACACTGCACATTTATTTCTCAGGTGCCTGAAGGCTTCGGCTAGGTTGGCCAACATGTGGTCTTGACTGGGCTTCCTCATATGCCTGGGGATTAGGCTTTGAGGCAGCTGGTTTAGGCTGGGCTGGCCGGGTGACTGGGCTCTCTCTGGGTGACCCTCCTCCTCCTCCTGGGACAGTGGGCTAGCTGGTCCCATCCTCGTTGTGATGGCAGAAGCACAACAGAGCAAGCCCAGATTGTCAAGCCTCCTCTTGCATCACATCCATTCTTATCCCATCGGCTAAAACAAATCAGATTCTAAAATACTGAGAATCAAGGGGTTGGAAGGTGTACTCTGCTTCCTGATGGAAGGAACAGCAAAGTCACACGGGCAAAGGCACAGGCACAGAGAGGGCTGGAGTCTCATGGATCTGTTTGTTGAAACTCTTTAGCCTCGCGGGCTGGGCTGGTGTGGCTGAGCGGTTGAGCAGCAAGCCAGGAACCAAGAGGTTGCCGGTTCCATTGCCGGCCCGGTCAGGGCACGTGTCTGGGTTCTGAAGATCCCCAGTAGGGGCCATGCGAGAGGCAGTGGGCCGAGAGAGGATGTTCCTCTCTGTCCCATGTTTCTATCTCTCTAGCCCTCTCCCTTCCTCTCTCTCTAAAAATCAATAAAAGCATATTAAAAAACATACAAACAACAACCCCCAAACGATGTAGCCTTCTCATAACAGCAGCCTGTCTGACAGTGCTGAAAATTCAGTAGGGCCTGGCCTTTTAAGGATTACATATAGGAACAATCTCAAAGCCTTAAAATGCAAATTGTAACGCCCGATTTCTATCATTAGATTTAGAAAAATAATTAATAGTCTGGGAATCATAATTTTACAGATTCTACAGGAAAGGTTCAGTGCACTGAACTGACTCACATACGTCCATTCCTTTGATGAGGACTCATCTCTGAGTCTCGGACCAACGTCTCTTCCCTTTCCACCTTGAGCATTAGCCCAGGAAACTCAGGTGATTCTTGGGAATGGCGGGAAGCAGTTTTAAAGTCACAGCACAGAGCTACATGCAGTTCATAGGAAGGTTTTATTCTGAGTAATAAATAAATGTATTTTAATTAGGCCTATAAACATTGATCTTTCGGGGGTGGGAAATTATTAGGTGGCAAGGTTTTAGGGGATTTGAAAGGAATATGACAGGATTTAATTTCTTAAGTAACCATTGCTTTATCACAATTATTTTTTTTTCCAAATGGCTAATTCTAGGAAAGTTTTCAAATTCTATCTTTATTCCATTTTTTTTTTCTTTTTTGGTTAATCCTCACCGAGGATATTTTTCCATTGACTTTCATAAAGAGTGGAAGAGAGAGGAAAAGACAGAGAGAAACATCGATGTGTGAGAAACACATGGATTGGTTGCCTTCTGCAGGAGCGGTGACCAGGCCTGGGCCTGCAACCAAGGTACACGCCCTTGACCGGAATCAAACTCGGGACGCTTTGGTCCGAAGGCTGATGCTCTATCCACTGAGCCAAACTGGCCAGAGCCCATTTTTCTAACAAATGTAAATCATTTAGGACAATATAGCACAGTGAAGTGAAGATGAGTGCTATGGTCTGAATGCTTGTGACTCCTCCCCACCATCCCCCAAATTCATAAATTGAAATCCTATTGGCCCAGCTAATGGGATTAGGAGCTGGAGCTTTGGGATTGGATTAGGTCCGGGGGCGGAGCCCTCATGATGAGATTTGTGTCCTTATAAAGGAGGCCTGAGCGAGCTGCCTGCCACATTCCCCAGCTGAGAATACAAGAGGCCAGAAGTCTGCAATTGGAAGAGGGCAGTTGGCTGGTGTCACAGAATTGCTGCGTGGCACACAACACTGCAGGTTTGTTTCTCAGGTGCCTGAGGGCTTCGGCTAGGAGGCAGGAGGCGCTCTAGCCCGTGTGGACTCTCGGAGCGCGCGGAGGCGAACGGAGAGCCAGTATGATGGCGGAACAGGACGTGGAAAACGAGCTTCTGGATTATGAGGAAGATGAAGAGCCCCAGGCTCCTACAGAGAGCACCCCAGGACCCCGCCAGAAAGATGTCAAGGGGGCCCACGTTTCCATCCACAGCTCTGGCTTCCGGGACTTTCTGCTGAAGCCTGAGCTCCTGAGGGCCATAGGGGACTGTGGCTTTGAGCATCCATCTGAGGTTCAGCACCAGTGTATTCCCCAAGCCATCCTGGGCATGGATGTCCTGTGCCAGGCCCAGTCTGGAATGGGCAAGACTGCAGTCTTCGTGCTGGCCACCCTACAGCAGATCGAGCCCGTCAATGGACAGGTGGCCGTCCTGGTCATGTGCCACACTCGGGAGCTGGCCTTTCAGATCAGGAAGGAGTATGAGCGCTTCTCCAAGTACATGCCCAGTGTCAAGGTGTCCGTGTTCTTCGGGGGTCTTTCCATCAAGAAGGACGAAGAGGTGCTGAAGAAGAGCTGTCCCCACGTCGTGGTGGGGACCCCAGGCCGCATCTTGGCACTCGTGCGGAACAGCAGCCTCAACCTGAGAAACGTGAAGCACTTCGTGCTGGACGAGTGTGACCAGATGCTGGAGCAGCTGGACATGCGGCGGGATGTACAGGAGATCTTTCGCCGGACGCCACGCGAGAAGCAGTGCATGATGTTCAGTGCCACGCTGAGCAAGGAGATCCGGCCCGTCTGCCGGAAGTTCCTGCAAGACCCCGTGGAGCTGACGGTGGACGACGACACCAAGCTCACGCTGCATGGGCTGCAGCAGTACTATGTCAAGCTCAAAGAGAGAGAAAAGAACCGTAAACTCGTCGACCTCCTGGACGTGCTAGACTTTAACCAGGTGGTGATCTTCGTGAGGTCGGTGCAGCGCTGCATGGCCCTGGCCCAGCTGCTCGTGCAACAGAACTTCCCAGCCGTCGCCATCCACAGGGCCATGGCGCAGGAGGAGCGCCTCGCACGCTACCAGCAGTTCAAGGACTTTCGGCGGCGGATCCTGGTGGCCACCGATCTGTTTGGCCGAGGCATGGACATTGAGCGAGTCAACGTCGTCTTCAATTATGACACGCCTGGGGACTCGGACACCTACCTCCACCGGGTGGCCCGAGCCGGCCGCTTTGGCACCAAAGGCCTGGCTATCACTTTTGTGTCTCATGACAATGATGCCAAAATCCTCAATGAGGTTCAGGGTAGGTTTGAAGTCAATGTGGCGGAGCTTCCTCAAGAAAAGGACATGTCCACATACATCCATGTCAGGTCACCACACACCTGACATCCCGGAGCCACCCTGCTTCCCACGTGCTGCTTCAAGTCTTCTTAACAATAAATTCTTACTATGGAAAAATAAATAAAAATATGGCCTTGTAGTTTGCTTCTTCCCCCCATTGTTCAAGTCACTCATCCATATATATATGTACGTATGTATGTATACATATATATATACACAAACACACATATATATATTCATATATATATATATACACATACATATATATAATAATGCTAGATTTATAGAAACATTCCAACTTTTATACAGAGAATTCTTGTCTACCCCTCACCAGTTTTCCCTAATGTTCCATTCACATGGAACATTTGTTAAAACTAAGACGTCTGCATATTATTATTAACTAAGCTGCAAATTTTATTCAAATTTCACCATTTTTTGTTATAACGCACTTTGACGTTCCTGGATCCAATTTAGGATACCACGCTGCATTTAACATCTAGTAATTTTGTCAGAAAATATAGCTAAACAAAAATACCAACCAAAATTGGATTCTGTTCGGATTCATTCTAAGAATTAACGTGCTGCAGTTATAATCAGAATTAGGTTAATATATGATAAAATAAAATTTTTATCCTATTATTTTCTTTCAATTTTCAAACTGGAGAACCAATCAGACCATTTCTTACACAATTTACTACCAAATTTACTTCCCATTTGTAGAAATTTAACTTTAACCAGTTTTTTTTTATGCTTCCAACTATGCTTAGATAACTACAATAGATGGTTAGCGAGGCTTCCTTAAAATACGTAAAAGAGGATGTGACTAGGATCTGTGGATTAAAAAAGTAAGTTTGATGTCTGTATAATCAGTGGAACTGCATGTAATATGCATATTATTCCTTTGAGCTACAAGTTAAATAAATGAATAAAGCAAGACTAGTTTTGATACAGTGTAGAACCCACAGATGAAGCACTGTCAGATGCTAATTATTCTCTGCCTGCCCCTTGTTGCACAATTGTATACTTTCAAACAGATACGCAGCACTGTAGTGAAGAAAGATTTTCATTCATTTTAGGAGTATTCCGTTTCACCAATATCACTTTTATCATGTTAAAAAATGAGCCCCAGTGGATATGTAGCTTATACATTGGGGGTAAGGCACCTTTCCATTATTTATCGGTTCAATAAATAACTCTCTTAATATCTAGGAGAATTAACATTTTCCAAGAAGCCAAATTCACTCTTTTCTTCAAAAATTTTTACTGAACTGTGGCAGTTGGCTAGTGTCACAAAATTGCTGTGTGGCACACAACACTGCACATTTATTTCTCAGGTGCCTGAAGGCTTCGGCTAGGTTGGCCAACATGTGATCTTGACTGGGCTTCCTCATATGCCTGGGGATTAGGCTTTGAGGCCGCTGGTTTAGGCTGGGCTGGCCGGGTGACTGGGCTCTGCTCTGGGTGACCCTCCTCCTCCTCCTGGAACAGTGGGCTAGCTGGACCCATCCTCCTTGTGACGGCAGAAGCACAACAGAGCAAGCCCAGATTGTCAAGCCTCCTCTTGCATCACATCCATTCTTATCCCATCGGCTAAAACAAATCAGATGGCCACACTCAGAATCAAGGGCTTGGAAGGTGTTCTCTGCTTCCTGTCGGGAGGAACAGCAAAGTCACACGGCAAAAGGCACAGGCACAGAGAGGGCTGGAGACTCGTGGATCGGTTTGTTGAAACTCTTTAGCCTCGCGGGCTGGGCTGGTGTGGCTCAGCGGTTGAGCATCAAGCCAGGAACCAAGAGGTTGCCGGTTCCATTGCCGGCCCGGTCAGGGCACGTGTCTGGGTTCTGAAGATCCCCAGTAGGGGCCATGCGGGAGGCAGTGGGCCGAGAGAGGATGTTCCTCTCTTTCCCATGTTTCTATCTCTCTAGCCCTCTCCCTTCCTCTCTCTCTAAAAATCACTAAAAGCATAGTAAAAAACATACAAACAACAACCCCCAAATGATGTAGCCTTCTCATCACGGCAGCCTGTCTTACAATGCTGAAAATTCAGCAGGGCCTGGCCTTTTAAGGATTACATATAGGAACAATCTCAAAGCCTTAAAATGCAAATTGTAACGCCCGATTTCTATCATTAGATTTAGAAAAATAATTAATAGTCTGGGCATCATAATTTTACAGATTCTACAGGAAAGGTTCAGTGCACTGAACTGACTCACATACGACCATTCCTTTGATGAGGACTCATCTCTGAGTCTCGGACCAACGTCTCTTCCCTTTCCACCTTGAGCATTAGCCCAGAAAACTCAGGTTATTCTTGGGAATGGCGGGAAGCAGTTTTAAAGTCACAGCACAGAGCTACATGCAGTTCATAGGAAGGATTCATTCTGAGTAATAAATAAATGTATGTATTTTAATTATGCCTATAAACACTGATTTTTGGGGGATGGCTACTATTATGTGGCAAGGATTTAGGGGATTTGAAAGGAATATGACAGGATTTAATTTCTTAAATAAGCACTGCTTTATCACAATTATTTTTCCAAATGGCTAATTTTAGGAAAGTTTTCAAATTCTATCTTTATTCCATTTTTTTTATTGTTGTTAATCCTCACCAGAGGATATTTTTTCATCGATTTTTTTAGAAAGAGTGGAAGTGAGAGCAAAATAAAGAGAGATACATCATGTGAGAGAAACACATGGATTAGTTGCTTTCTGCAGGAGCGGTGACCAGGTCTGGGCCTGCAACCAAGGTACAGGCCCTTGACAGGATTCAAACTCGGGACGCTTTGGTCCATAGGCTGTTGCTCTATCCACTGAGCCAAACTGGCTGGAGCCCATTTTTCTAAAAAATGCAAATCATTTAGGACAATAAAGCACAGTGAAGTGAATATGAGTGCTATGGTCTGAATGCTTGTGACTCCCACCATGCCCCAAATTCATAAATTGAAATCCTACTGGGTCAGCTAATGGGATTAGGAGCTGGAGCTTTGGGATGGGATTAGGTCCTGGGGGTGGAGCCCTCACAATGGGATTTGTGCCCTTATAAAAGAGGCCTGTGAGTCCAGTCACTTCACTCTCCTTTAGGTCCGCTCAACCTCCCAGCAGCTCCCCTGCACTCCTGGCCTCCTCCCCTTCCCTGCTCTCTTGTGGGTCCGCACTGTCCTCCCCTCTGCATTTCTCCTCATGGTCTGGAGGACCAGCAACCCTCTGCTTCCGTCGTCATAGTGGTTAGGTCTTCTCTGTGCTGGAAGGAGAACCCGCGAACACTTTTGGAATTATGGCGGCGGTGGATATCCGTGATAATCTACTGGGAATCTCTTGGGTTGACAGTACATGGATCCCCATTTTGAACAGTGGAAGTGTCCTAGATTACTTTTCAGAAAGAAGTAATCCTTTTTACGACAGAACGTGTAATAATGAAGTGGTCAAAATGCAGAGATGAACATTAGAACACTTAAATCAGATGGTTGGAGTGGAACACATCCTTTTACATGCTCAAGAGCCCATTCTTTTTATCATCCGGAAGCAACAGCGGCGGTCCACTACCCAAGTTATCCCACTGGCTGATTACTATATCATTGCTGGAGTGATCTACCAGGCACCAGACTTGGCATCAGTTATAAACCCTAGAGTGCTGACTGCGGTGCATGGCATTCAGTCAGCTTTTGATGAAGCTATGTCATACTGTCGATATCATCCTTCCAAAGGGTATTGGTGGCGCTTCAAAGATCATGAAGAGCAAGAAAAAGTTAAACCTGAAACCAAAAGGAAAGAAGAACCCATCTCTATTTGCCAGAGGCAACGTGTGGATGCTTTACTCCTAGACCTCAGACAAAAATTTCCTCCCAAATTTATGCAGCAAAAGTCTGGAGAAAAGCCTGTCCCAGTGGATCAGACAAAGAAAGAGGCAGAACCTACAGCAGAAACTGTGAATTCTGATGAGAAGGAGACCACAAAGAACATCCAACAGACAGTGAGCACTAAAGGTCCCCCTGCAAAACGAATGAGACTTCAGTGAGTATTGGACAAGAGAAGCTTGTAAGACTTGTCCATTATTATACCTCATACTGTGGCAGGCTCTTGAACTTTGAAATTCTTTGTCACAACTCTCATTTGTATAGAATGTGCTTGCTCTTTATGCTCTTGAAGAAATCCAGAGACACAGCTATAAAGACCTAGCAAGATGTATGGCTGCCAGTGTCTTTGCCACCGCCTCCTGCCTCTGCTTATTTATTGTTGTGAAACTAAATGGACAGAGCTTCAAATTCTCCTCACTCTCCAATTCTGAGGCTCAACAGACTGATGAGAGAGCAGCACAGCGTGTTCCTGGGCCATTTTATCTTCTTTGGACTCTCGTTGGTGTAGGAGTGGTGTGGGTTGATGGATTAATAGAGTGAATTGAATGTGGAGTAGGATTTTTTTTTTTTCCTACCCACTCCTCTGGCTGCCTCCTTGCACAAGGTCAGGACTCTGTATCAAATGCCAATAAAGGTGAACCCGTAGCTCATGAACAAACAAACAAACAACAATGAATATTCGTAGGTTGCTGAAATGACTTTAGATATTCTTCTTCCAAATATTGTATTTCAACTGTAATTGAAAAAAAATCCCAAAACTCTTCTTTCATCTGCATCAATTTATCTTTGTGAGACTGTTTTCTCTATTACGGATATAAAAACAAAACAGAGGAACAGTTCAGACACATTACCCAAGCTCACGCTGCATGGGCTGCAGCAGTACTATGTCAAGCTCAAAGACAGTGACAAGAACCGTAAACTCGTCCACCTCCTGGATGAGCTAGACTTTAACCAGGTGGTGATCTTCGTGAGGTCGGTGCAGCGCTGCATGGCCCTGGCCCAGCTACTCGTGCAACAGAACTTCCCAGCCGTCGCCATCCACAGGGCCATGGCGCAGGAGGAGCGCCTCGCACGCTACCAGCAGTTCAAGGACTTTCGGCGGCGGATCCTGGTGGCCACCGATCTGTTTGGCCGAGGCATGGACATTGAGCGAGTCAACGTCGTCTTCAATTATGACACGCCTGGGGACTC